TTAGGAAAATTCTCGTGTGTATTTTCGTTAAGCCTTTTTCAAGCTCGAAATCTATCGGGCGCAAACGGTCGACATTGATGACATTTACGCATGCAGAAGCGGTTTTAACGTCGCACGTGTTCCGAAGGGAGAGCGATTTAGGGTCCACAAACCAGCTAAAGATAGCAGCCGAAGGGGTCACTTCGCGATTCCTCCTCTCTTTCTCTCTTTCTCCCTCTCTTTCTCCCTTCTTCCCTCTCCTGACCTTCTTCGTTTATTCGTCCTCCTCTTTCTTTCAAGATCACAATTTATAGAAGCACTCGGCACCTGTCACCTTTCCGTAGTACACCGAGGACGCGCGTATTCCGCCTCCAATCTCGAATAGGTCGACGGACCTCGTCGCGCTCGATGGAGAAGGAACAGAAGAGAGAAGAAGCGGGAAAGGGAAATACTTTGAAACATTTCGCCGCATCGGCCGCAGTTTCAAAACAACGCGCGTTTGAAGCGACGGAATGTCTTCCAGAGAAACTGAAGGAAGGAGCTCTAACTTCCATCAACCGAGTGTTATTTTGAGGAGGGCGGTACCCTCGAGGAGTTTCCACGCAGATCTAAGAAAAACGCAAAGATTTTATAATTATTTTTATAATTATTTTTTATAATTACTCGAGCGCGAATTCAAGAGGGGGAGGGGCTACAGCTAGCTCCTCGGAAGGAGTTAACGTCGCCATTCGTCACGTCTCGCGTTACACTATACAACGCCAATTCCCGATTACACGACGACACTCGTTAGTACACACGGAACAGCGAGCGCGACGTTAACAGGAAGCGCGCATCTGCGTGACCCGCAACGGGCGCCATACCCTTTAAGTATTAACGGCAGCGCGCGTCCTACGTGATCCTCGTACTTACGGTGCGATTGCGCGCTGTCCATCGCGCGATCTTCCGTTCCATATAATTCACGGATTACGGCCGCCATCGCGTCGTCGTCGTCGTCGGCGCGACGATCGAAGACGCGCGTAGATAGATCCGCGCGTGTCGAAGGAAGCGAGACCGCCCGCCGAGCGAGCCGACGCCCGATCCGTGATTCCGAGCCATAAAATAGATATATAGTATCTCGAAATTACCGAATTTACAAGCGGACCGTAAATCATCTCGAAAATGATTCCGCCATTAAATTAACAAGATGGGAAGTTTGATTTCAGCCGTTTGACTCGTAAAAAAAAAAAAAGAAAGAGAGAGAGAAAGAAAGAAATGATGTATCTCCCTATCTGTTAAGCGTCGCGCTTT